TACGTAAAAAGATATATATATATATTTTATATAATTATGTGTGTGTGTGTGTGTGTGTGTGTGTAAGAGGGGGAAAGGGAATTTCTTCTAAGGATTTCCAAATTTCTCCGAAGAGCTTTTGCTCCTCAGTAGTGATAGGGGAGTAGGATATTGGGATTGGGGAAGGAAGAGGAGATTGTGATGTTGGGGGTGGTGAAAAGGAAACAGGAGATTGTGATACTACAGGAGAAGTGTCGTCCCCGGTCAGGTCTATGACTGGGATAGGCTCTGTGGCTGTCGATCTCTCTTTTTCCCTTTTTATTTTGCGAATCTTGTAAAGTTCCTGACAAGCTGCCTCGTCTAACGGGATCCACGTTTGGACCCTTTTTCTGACCGGAATCCCCAACCGGCGGAGGGTTTCTAGTTTTTCCCTTTTGCGCCGGCCCGCTCGATGTTTTCGTTTGAACATCTACCAAAAATAGGGATTGTAGAGTGCGCCCAACCGCTATCAGCTATGGTAAGGTAGAGGAAGGAAGGGTAAGGTAGTTGGACGGATGATTCGCTCGAAATGATTTACCGTTTCGAGTAGTGGTAGCAATTGCAGAAAAGACAGAATTAATTACTCGTAGCAAGTCACTGCTCCGAGTAATTATAAAAGAAAAGTACTCGTGGCGACTTAGCACCCTGAGTAATAAGAAGAAATAAAAGAATTACTCTTAGCGAGTTACCGCTTCGAGTAAAGAAAAGCACTCGTGGCGACTTACCGCTTTGAATACTACGAAGAAGTAGAATAAAAGAATTATTCGCAGCGATCTACCGCTTCGAGGAGTAGTCAGGAGAAAAGGGGTGAACCGATGGAGATAATTTGGTAGTATTGTAGTCAAACTTATATTAAATTAGAAAAGAGACACTTACTTTAATCGGGGTGAAAGAGAGATCTTCAATTTGCGGAATGTCCTTGAGGCTGTCCTGGTTGGTGGCTCTCACGGCACTTGAACACTCCGCGTACTCATATTAGAAACTCTTATTCTCAAGTTTAAGGTTGACTGTTCGGATGTATGGTGTCTAATGTGTAAAGTTAAAAAGAATGCCGTGCTCTTTTTGTGCTGGTTTTTATAGGGATTGGTTTAGGGAGAGGTATTTTGATGATGTGTCGAATTTCTTATTGATAATTAAGATGATGATTCACGGTCGTTGAATCATCTCTTATCTCCGGACTATTGTTTTTCTTTTTTTCTTGGAAGTAAGGTCAATGCCTTATTTCCTAACTTAGAACAAATATGTTATGGTGAGACTTATCTCATCACAACATACCTGCTTCGTTTAGACATCTCACCCTTCGAGTATCGTCTGTCTCGCGAGCTTGTTATCTTAGCATCTCGCCGCTATTAAGTGAAAAATATTTACTAATTACATAATTCACGACTCTCGAAAGGAAAATGTCATTTGTTTTTCTATTTTTGGAAAAACAAATCTGGTCTTACTCATGGTTTATCGATTTTTCTATTGACCTTTTGTCGCGTCTAAATTAAATTTTTCTAATGAAAAATATGTATTACTTAATTGTTAGAATTATTGATTATTTACTCGGACAAAGGAATTGTGCAGTCCACCGGACGTAACAAAAGTAACGGTGCATAAGTTAAATATTACAATTCCTTCTTCTGCGAATTGTAATCCATTAGACGATACGAAACTCATTTCAGAAGAGGTCAACAATAGTGCTGCAAAAACTTCAGAAAAAGTCTTGACTCACGTAACGAAATTTCAAGTCAGTGAGGTACATCAGCTTTTGCAGCAAGATTATCATGTCTTTGAGCACAGTTACAGCAAACGTCTAAACAGCGATTGGACTTCTTCAGAATATGCGGATGAAATTGTTAAATACGCTGCCGGTTCGATAATCCGTGTGTTAAAGAATATGACTAAAGTAGCAAGTGCTGTGACTTATTAGATGGATCTTCCAGCAGCTTAAAATCGAAATTGATTGATTTAAAAAATCGTGATGGGTTGCACTTCGCATCAGATGATGTTAATTTTATATGCATGTGCAAAGAAAAAACTATACGTTCTACAAACAACCTTTTGCGAAAAGATATAAATAAAACGTTAATCGCAGAAACATTAAAATCACTCCCACCTAATATTTTAGACGATAATGATCAAGATCACTTAGAAATACATTTTAAAGTTCAACGAGAACATCTCATTTTGTCGATTATACAAAAGTATATTGACATGAGATTAAATCACGAAGGCAAAATGTTAAATGATCAAAACCAAAGAGTGCGAATGCATAACAATAAGATGACTATTTTTAAAGGAAATTAGTTGAAAAGTCATTCTCGTAACAGCGATAATTAAAATTTACAAACTTACCTTTTTTTTTAAAAAAAAAAGGTAAAAAAAGCGCTAAGAGTGGGTGCTGCTGGTCAAAAAACATTTCGGCCAGTTTCACCAACGCCAATTACTTAATCGACTGTAAAACTGACTAATCACATTTGCTGTTTAGTAGAACGATCTTTTTTAAAAACCTACGTGATATCCTTATTTACTTAAATTTAATGACATGTATCATTTGTATAAAAGTTTTGATATCAATAGTCGGCGCCAAGTTAAATTCTACCTTATTACTTACTTAATTTTAATGACATTTATCATTTGTATAAAAGATCATATGATATGGATTTTTCCCATAAAATATATCGTTTAATTAACTAGTCTTTAAAAATTCTATCTCTAAAGATCTAAGAGGTACCATCCTTACACTCATTTAATTCTAATGACATGTATCATTTGTATGTATATATAAACTTACCTTTTTAAAAAAAAGGTAGAAAAAAGCGCTAAGAGTGGGTGCTGCTGATCAAAAAACTATTTGGGCCAGTTTCACCAACGTCAATTACTTAATCGACTGTGAAACTGACCAATCACATTTGCTGTTTAGTAGAACCATCTTTAAAAACCTACGTGATATTATCCTTATTTAATTAATTCTAATGACATGTATCATTTGTATAAAAGATTTGATATCAATAGTCGGCGCCAAGTTAAATTCTAATCTTTAAAAACCTACGTGATATTATCCTTATTATTTACTTAAATCAATGACACGTATTATTTGTATAAAAGATTTGATATCAATAGTCGGCGCCAAGTTATTCTACCTTATTACTTACTTAATTTTAATGACATTTATCATTTGTATACAAGATTTGATATCAACAGTCGGCGCCAAGTTAAATTCTACCAAATTAAAAAGTAAAACACAAGTGGTACCTTTAATCTTTAAGTGAACCCATATAGTACTATTATTTAAATTCTACTAAATTAAAAAGTAAAACCCATGTGGTTCTATCTTTATTTTCATACAATGAAACCTAAGTACAGTAGAACCTCTCTAAATTTGCCTTCTATAATTTTTATATTCCTTTCACACACACTAACGTCGTGCCCCTTCCATGCATGATGGGTTGGACATATACGCGCGCATCTGCACCTAATTGTACTGGGTTCTCAGAGTGAAAAATAAGGTTATGTATAACCCATCCGACAGTACAATCTGTACATACATACTTGTGTATTCTTTTGTGATGTAGTATATTGTAAAGAAAATGGAAAGTAACACAAATAAAAGAAAATACAAAGGTTACACAGTAATCGATAAAATAAATATTTTAAAAGAATGTAAAAATATGTCAGTGTCGAAAATTTCACGGAACTACGACATCAGTACACAAACTATAAGAAATTGGAAAAAAAACAAGTTTCAGTTAGAAAAATTAGCAAAGAATAAAAGTACATCAAAAATAAAAAGGTTAAAAAAACCAACGTTTACAATTCTTGACAAAGCCGTACATATCTGGTTTCAAGAACTCAGAATGCGAAGCATTCCAGTAAGTGGCTCTATTATCAAAGGTACATGTATATCTTATATAATTTATAAATTAATAAAATTACACTTTATGTTATAATTGCTAATATCACCGGCAGTGGGTGCTTTCCAGTGAAGAATTGAAGACAAAAAACAATGTTTACAAACGATACGTAACATGTATATGTAGTGTGTAACATAGTGTATGATTCAGTGCTTTCTAATTACGACACAAGTCAACACTGTCGAACTCAGCTATATTAGATGTGTATGATGATAGTTAGAAAGCACCCGATCATATGCTATGATACAGTGTCGTTCGTAAACATTGCTGAAAAGCACCTACTAATATAAATATAAAAATGTTTAAAAAATGTAAAGACACTGAAAAATATTCTTCATTTGTATAATTTTCTAAAACTTTTAGTTTATTTTTATGTTTGTATATTCTAGCTAAGGCACTAGAAATAGCCAAAGAATTGAATCTACAAGAAAATTTTGTAGCTAGCACTGGATGGTTAGACAAATGGAAAATCAGGCATGGCATTCGCCAATTACAAGTTTGTGGAGAAAAAAAATGTGCTGATATAGAAGCTGCTGATAAATTTAAAACAGCGCTATCAAAAATGATAAAAAATGAGAACATTACTTTGGCACAGATATTCAATGTAGACGAAACAGGTTTATATTTTAAAATGTTACCAACTAAGCAGAAAAAAAAGAACATGGAGCGTTTGGATTTAAACAGAGTAAAGATCGCATAACAATTACGCTTTGCTGTAATGCAAATGGCTCTTTTAAATTACCTATAGTTGTTATTGGAAAATATGAAAAACCACGAGCTATCAAAAACATTTTACCTATACTTCCAGTTTACTATACACATCAAAGAAGTGCTTGGATGAACAGTAATATCTTTGAAACATGGTTTAAAAATGAATTTGTGCCACAAGTTACGGCATTCCTGCAAAAAGAAGATTTACCTCTTAAAGCGTTACTTCTTCTTGATAATGCATCATGCCACTCTTCAGTTGAGATTTTACATGTTAACGATATTACAGCTTATTATTTACCACCAAACGTAACATCATTAATTCAACCATTAGATCAAGGTATAATCGAAAATTTGAAAAGAAAATATAGATTCAAGCTTTTATCATCAATTATAAGTGAACAAACGAGGAATATTGATGTTATTACGTATTTAAAATCTGTAACTATTAAGGATGCTATATATTGGATAAGTGATGCATGGGATGAAGTTACTACAAGCACAATTTTTAAATGTTGGAAAAACATTTTGCCAAAAGAATTTTTTGAAAACAACAATAACAGTTCATTATTAGAGAGTAATGCAGAGATTATTAATTATTTTCATCAAATTAATAATTATGAGAACATCAACGAAGAGGATGTAGAAGAATGGATTGTAAGAAGTGATGATATATTTCCTGAAATACCATCCAATAAAGAAATTTTAGAAAGCGTAATTGTATAGAAGGTAAATTATTTTAGTATTATATGGATTGTATAGAAGGTAAATTATTTTAGTATTATATCAATATTCTAAATAGTCTTCTTTAATATATAATTTTTTGTATACATATTTTCTACTTATGGCAGATAATGAAAACATTGTTCAAGATGTTCAAGATAGAGAACAAATAAGCACTGCATACGCTTTATCATCGATAAAGACATTATTATTATTTTTGGAGCAGAACAGCGCATTAATAAACAAAAAAAATTTATTAACATTAATACAGATAAAAAATAAAATTATAAAAATGAATGTTGCTCAATAATTCATTTCTTAATTATATGCTATATGTATTTTTTGCTTAATTTTGTATCTTTAATGTGCAATTGATAAATGTTTATTAATATCTCAATATTGTACTTTATTTTTTTACGTGAAATGTTCGTTTATATATTTTTTACGTTAACCAAAGAAAGAGAAATTATATTTTCTTGTTAATATTATTTCTTATAAAATTATTTGTATTCAATCGCAATAATTTTGTCTTTATTTGCACATTATAACACATGAACATTATCAGATCCTAATGTAATGATAATAAATGTACGTATATTAATGGTTTAAAATTGATTGGCTTATTATTCCTTTATTATACTACTTATTATTTATATATTTATTTGTTTAATGATTTATGTCGAAAAATTTTTCAAGTTTGTGTAATATATTGTATACATATGTTTTCTTACAAACAATGTGTATACATGTATGAGATATCTTTATGACATTAAACAATACGATACAAAATTTAGATTAATAAGAATAAATCTAATTTTAATGAAAGAAATGCCAGTACATTCGATCACAGCGAATTTTGATGCTTATGTTTTTCGTGTGAATTTCAATGCATATCTCATTCTGCGAACGACGTACTGAAATTTTTTTGGTCTTGAAACGCAATCGATACCCAGAATCAGAATAATAATATCACATATTAAAATATAAATAACCAAAACGGGCTAATGAGAGTCATACAGCGGTTCTTGGTGCGAGTCAATAATTAATGTTTTATTAAAAAATACTTATAATAATATTTCAGACGTTTCGGCTTCACTCTGAGCCATCATCAGTGATCTGAACAACAAATTCTAGAAAATAGATTTCTTCTATGACTGGACCCGAGAGTGGTAACTACTTCATCCTCAAATCTTGACAAAAAGTTAGATTGTTTTTTGGCAATGAATAGGAAATCTAATGAAAAATTGCCATTTTAATAATAATTAATAAAATTCTTTAAGAAGACAAAAACAAGAACACTCACCAGTACAGTCATGAAGTCAAAATATGTATAAAACAATGAAAAATCACGTCGACATGTTAAAAATTAAAAATTATTCGCTTGTATAAAAATCAGTATGTTGTCTGTCAATAGACAGTAGTTGAATAAATAGAAGA